ACCTCAACATTGTCCGCGCGGTATCAAGCGAAAGATGATCTTCATTTTCTCCCTGAAGGCCACAAAAGGTAACAAAAGACTAGTCTTGAACATGATTGCTCGGCTAACAACACCTGAGAGAGTAAAAAGCAGCTTGAAGCGTCAAACAGCGTCAACACAGCAGTTACAAAGCCCTGAATCAAATTTAAAATCTCCTGCACGAAAAAAGGTCTCCACGTCGGGGTGAACTGAACAATGATGCGGACGAGTATCGAGTACCGAAAACGAGCGACGTTTCTCTTCCGACAAGCAGGCGTCAGTTTCTTAGCCCATGTGAAAGGTTCACTGAGGAAAAGACAGGGGCACCCAACGAATCGTTTCGGTAAATGTTCTGTTCGGAAGGCCTTTAATCCATTCTGATTTTCTGAAGAGAATTGTCACCTCGAAGTTTCGTGATGTGAAAAATTTAATGTCTGTTGTTTTCGAATTGTAAAAAATGTCGTTTTGGGAACCGAAAAAAGGTCAGCTACCATTTTCGGAAAGGCGATAAGACCTAAGGTTTTCGGGGAATGGACAAAAAAGCCCTAATAAATTCGAGAACACTCAAGTTCTCCTAGAATAACCGAACAGATAAATTTTTTTTAGCGCAACCTAAAATTAACCTACAGAGCTTTAAAAGTACTCCAGATAGCCTAAAACAGCATTTAAAAGCATTTAAAAGCATTTGAGAGAAAACGGTTGTTGGGTGCCCCTGAAAAGAGGCAAAAACTAAAGGAAGCAAGCGCTAAAAGATAAGAACTTGAAGAAACCTCTGCCAAGATAAGAGACGTAGCTTCCGCGCTTGGAAATACCGGTCAACGCTATGTAAGCTTAATTGTCATGAAAGAAATCACACAGTTCGCACCTGCCGAATGGCAATATGTCACCATCACTATCAATACAAATATTAACGCGAACCACATTCTGTTATCCCTATGTGTTATCTTTTTGTTGAAGAAATTACAACTGCAAAACTTAATGTTTAGATTTATTTCTACGCGGATAGCCATTCGAAAGTTGATGGCATTAGTACATCGGCCAAAGCATCCAGCGTGATGAAGTCACATGAAAAACCGGACTTTGAATGTTATAGAAGGTTACAGATAAATAATCAGGTCTGTGATATATTATTAAACTCTCGGCATGGGAGTGGATCCAAAAAGACATCTGAATCGAGAAGACTACATTTAACCAAATCGGGGAAGAAAATGTAGACCGGACTCGACTGAGCGGCGGAAATCGAGCCTACAAGGAGTAAAACAACAAACCCAGAAAAAATATTACCCTCGACCCTGGAGCCTCGACCCTCAACATGAACCTTCGACCCGCGACCCTCGACAAAAAGATAGACTCGAAATACAGTTCCGTAGACGGCGCGTAAGCCGATAAAATGACAAAGTTGCGTATTCAAACCCACTTGTAAGCCAATTTATTGCTGGAAGAAAAGGCTCAGGGTCGGTCCGTATAGTGAAAATCTGTGACCTCAGGCTTGAAAATGCTGCCCAAGGCCGCAGGGCGAGGGCAGCATTTTCAAGACCTCGGTCACAGTTTTTCACTAAACGGACCGACCAGCCGGCCGATAACAAATATAGCTACAGGTAGTGAAATAAAGAAACAAGGCAGGGTGACCCCTCCATTATCATATCCTTTTATTCTGGCGCAGAACGTTGCAAAAAATAAAACGTGGATGTCGATAATAGCCGCTGAAAGAAATTATTCCACATTATAAAAAGTTAATGTAAAAAAAAATTCAATTTTCCATTTTCAATTTTCCATTTCCCATTCCCCATTCCCCGTTCTAGTAACATCCCCAAATTAATTGTAGTCGCTTTTCACACTGAAACTTATCAATGGGTGCTGAAATTAACGACACGCCCAGAACACTCATTATACGAACTCTGAAGCAATATTTAGGTTTCAATATAACACGCAAACGATTTGAACCTGGCAGTAACCTCTTCAAATTTCCAGTAGTGCATTCCGTTCCTATCATAGAAACCACATCAACTTTTTTTTCATTCACAGCTTAAACCTAGTAGTAGAACGGATAAGACTCATTTAATTCAAAACCTTATCTAATGGGAAAAGCTCACCCTTTATCGCATGCTCGTAGTTATATGCCAAACCCTATGTTTCTTTGATTGATTATCCAATTGCAAATGATTATCAAACCCGTCCACAAAATCCTCAGCCTAACCCACAGAAGATGTCGAAGTAAGCCCAATATATGAATACTTCCTCCTCTTTTATAGAAGAATATGTATGGCCGTTCTGAACGGCATCGGGATCAAATCTTCTCACATAACATTTACCTTTACAACAAGAAATTTGATTGGCTGTTTATAGTAGATCCAATCTGATTGGTGTGACATACATACATCTCTCACTCACTCATCCATTGACCCGTCCATAACATACCCGACGCGCCGACTAAGACGTATCTTGTCATAAAAAAATTAACTCAATAAGAACGTACTCTTCCGTGACTCGACGTGACTATTTGATGATTAGATTAGTTCTTGTTTATCGGTGAAATGAAGATTTGCGTTTTGAATAAAACAAAATCGTTCCTCTTCGAATTTTCAGCAGATATTTCGCTTTTATTTTCCATTTATCTCCAGCAGTGAGTACTAGCCATTTTTACTACAAAATCTGGTCGCAGGGAGTAAAATTTGGTCCTTGCGACTAGTCCCACGAATTCAAACTGGTTTGAAGTTTTGGGACAAGTTCCTGCTACTTGTTCCTCAAAACGCTTGGAAACTTTTTATAAATACTCGTAAGACTGGTAAATGAAGAATTTCATTTAGCCATTTTCCCTGTTATTATAGAAAAAAGCGGCAAACTGATTATACACGATTATACGTGATTCACGCCGTTTTAACGTCTTTTTCGTGAAAATATATTAAGCCGCCTGAATATTCCGGAATGTTCCTGGATGTTCCAAAATGTTCCATGTTCCTGGTTTTATCGCCGGCCAAACAAGGGTCTTCCCTTGAAAAATTGTCGGAAAGCATTTTTCTTCAATGACCTCCTTCTTGTGTTTCCACCACAACCTCAAATCGGTATTCAGTTTTGAAACAGTCGTCTGTGAAATGCTCGTTGCACACATACACATTTTCGAGGTTTTTTTTGGCATGAATCTCTCATCCCTGCGAAGCTGTTCAAGCCACTTCTTTACCAATTTTTTGTTCTTTGCAGGCACATTAAGGAAAGTCACTCCTCTCTCCCTATCCTTTTCAGTTCGGGTTTTACAGCCCGGTTTTACATTTTAGCTCGCAACCGAATAAACGGATTTAGAACAGAAAAGAAGAGCTTTAGCCTTAGAGCTTCGCACCAATTCGGACGGAATGACGTCACGGATATGCGGCCCGGCCTTCAAGATCCTTTCAAAATGGCGGCTCCCGGTGTCAAACTTTTCACTTCTTTTTCATTGGGATCGCATCCACTTCAGAAGCTAAAACAACGGTAAGTAACTCAACTCAATGTGAACTTTTTATTGCTGATGGAAAAAAATACACGGTTTTTGGAGTGACCTCCTTTAACTTCATCCTTCACACTTGTTGGTGTCTAACTATTTGAACAATCAATCAATAGGAGCTCTGTCAGTCAAAGTAATCTTCTATATCAATGTCAGGATTAAGCAAAAGGTCTTTCATTGCAGTTAAATCCATTTGACTCAAAATTAAGTTCTCAAAGGTTTCTTCGAGATCTGTTTCACCAATTAAGACAGCTCCACACATTCTGCCTCTATGTAGGACAACTTTAACATATTCATCACCTTTTGTATATCTTACAAGTAATTCATAATCATTTCCCAATCCTTGAGCATTAAATTTTCCTAGTAAAATGACCTTATATCCAAAGAATTGAGTCACATGTGTAAACAACTCAAAACAAAAGTCCAGAGAAATTTTTTCGCCTGACAAATGTGCTGACATACACTTTGCTGCAAACACACCCATCTGTCGTGCCTGGCTCCACAATCTCATCTGAAACCAACAAGGAGCTGGGTTCCAGCATGCAGTACAAACGTCACCAGCACTATAAACATCCTCAATACTTGTTTGCATGTTTGAATTAACTGAAAGACCACCATCTTCTGCAACATCAAATGGAGCACACAGTATAAAAGGTTGGGTACTAGGAATAACACCTGTAGCAGAAACTATGAGGTCACAACCATAAATTTTCCCATTTGAAAGTTGAATGTACACTGGCCAATCAGAAGCTGAATTGCTGTCTGAACCATTACTATTTGACGGAAGAGGTGACTCCTTCAGTCCAGACATTTTAAACTCTTCTGGTTCAAACATCTGTTTTACTTTACACTTGTATTCAACGTGAACCTGTCTTTGAGCTATATCTTGACTGCTGCGGGCACCACAAAGAGTGAGGTCAGAGCTCCAGTCTGGTCCTAATGCCCCTCCACACATACTCTGAGAACGATCAATACAGCCACCAGTCCCTAAAAAACAACAAAATGCAACTAACTTACATGTCACCATAAGAATTTAAAGATAAGTATAAAGTTTTAATACATAGATTTAGCCAAGCCTAAAAG